AGAACTGAACTAGAACTGAACTAGAACTGAACTAGAACTGAACTAGAACTGAACTAGAACTGAACTAGAACTGAACTAGAACTGAACTAGAACTGAACTAGAACTGAACTAGAACTGAACTAGAACTGAACTAGAACTGAACTAGAACTGAACTAGAACTGAACTAGAACTGAACTAGATCTGAACTAGATCTGAACTGGAACTGAACTAGAACTGAACTAGAACTGAACTAGAACTGAACTAGAACTGAACTAGAACTGAACTAGAACTGAACTAGAACTGAACTAGAACTGAACTAGAACTGAACTAGAACTGAACTAGAACTGAACTAGAACTGAACTAGAACTGAACTAGAACTGAACTAGAACTGAACTAGAACTGAACTAGAACTGAACTAGAACTGAACTAGAACTGAACTAGAACTGAACTAGAACTGAACTAGAATTGAACTAGAACTGAACTAGAACTGAACTAGAATGAACTAGAACTGAACTAGAATGAACTGAACTGAACTAGAACTGAACTGAACTGAACTAGAACTGAACTGAACTGAACTAGAACTGAACTAGAACTGAACTAGAACTGAACTACTGAACTAGACTGAACTAGAACTGAACTAGAACTGAACTAGAACTGAACTAGAACTGAACTAGAACTGAACTAGAACTGAACTAGAACTGAACTAGAACTGAACTAGAACTGAACTAGAACTGAACTAGAACTGAACTAGAACTGTACTAGAACTGAACTAGAACTGAACTATAACTGAACTAGAACTGAACTAGAACTGAACTAGAACTGAACTAGAACTGAACTAGAACTGAACTAGAACTGAACTAGAACTGAACTAGAACTGAACTAGAACTGAACTAGAACTGAACTAGAACTGAACTAGAACTGAACTAGAACTGAACTAGAACTGAACTAGAACTGAACTAGAACTGAACTAGAACTGAACTAGAACTGAACTAGAACTGAACTAGAAATGATACTAGAACTAACTAGAACTGAACTAGAACTGAACTAGAACTGAACTAGAACTGAACTAGAACTGAACTAGAACTGAACTAGAACTGACTAGAACTGAACTAGAACTGAACTAGAACTGAACTAGAACTGAACTAGAACTGAACTAGAACTGAACTAGAACTGAACTAGAACTGAACTAGAACTGAACTAGAACTGAACTAGAACTGAACTAGAACTGAACTACTAGAACTGAACTAGAACTGAACTAGAAACTGAACTAGAACTGAACTAGAACTGAACTAGAACTGAACTAGAACTGAACTAGAACTGAACTAGAACTGAACTAGAACTGAACTAGAACTGAACTAGAACTGTACTCCTTCTCTACATCAACATAACCTTAAATCATTGACTGTAATAATATAAGCGGAGCTGTGTGTGATCACTCCAAGCCCTTTCAGAAATATACCTCATCTATCAGCCTATAACCTTATAGCTATCATCAAACTTGAGTGATATGTATCTCATTCCCCTCATCATCTATTCGTTCCTTACAATTAATTTCATGATACAAACATTTAATTACAATGTTGTAGACGAAAATGAAAAATATCTTAAGATTAAATCATTTTACACAAGAAATCATAAATGTTAAATTATAAAATTTAAAACAATTAATAAATTACAAGTATGTTTTTAACATACAAACACAAAATTTTGGCAAACACAAATATAAATTTAGAAATTGTTCCCAAAATCTCAACAACATAATTTGCCCAAAGATCAAATTGCAATTGTTAATATAAAATAGAAAATTTTTTATCATGATCGTTGGTTAATTGTGTTAAAGAATTTATTAGAATTCTGGCTAATATTGGTCAGTTTCGGATCAAACTTTCCTTGAGAAAATTGTTTGTATTCTGTGGTTAAATTCAAATCTAATTTCCCTTAACAAAATTAATCAGATTCTGATCAAATTTCCCTTAAGAAAATTAGTCAGATTCTGATCAAAATTTCCTTAAGAGAAGTGCTCAGATTCTGACCAAATTTCCTTCAAGAAATCTTGTCAGATTTTTACCAAAATTTCCCTTAAGAAAGTCGTTCAGATTCTGATTAAGTAAATCAAAATCTGACCAAATTTCCCTTAAGAAAGTCGTTCAGATTCTGATTAAACTTCTCTTATGAAAATTTATCAGTTTCTTGCCAAATTTCCTTTTAGAAAATTGATCAGATTCTTGTGAAATTTCCCTTAAGAAAATTGGTCAAATTCTGATTAAATTTCCCTTTCGGAAATTACTTACATTGCGACCAAATTTCCCTTAAGAAAATTAATAAAATTCTGACCAAATATCCCTTAAGAAAATCATTCAGATTCTAATCAAATTTCCTTTAAGAAAATCGGTCAGATTCTGACTATTTTGCCAACTTTTCGACTTCCCTAATATCTCAGGATTCTGATTAAGTAAATCAAAATCTGACCAAATTTCCCTTAAGAAAGTCGTTCAGATTCTGATTAAACTTCTCTTATGAAAATTTATCAGTTTCTTGCCAAATTTCCTTTTAGAAAATTGATCAGATTCTTGCGAAATTTCCCTTAAGAAAATTGGTCAAATTCTGATTAAATTTCCCTTTCGGAAATTGCTTACATTGCGACCAAATTTCCCTTAAGAAAATCAATCAAATTCTGACCAAATATCCCTTAAGAAAATCATTCAGATTTTAATCAAATTTCTTTTAAGAAAATCGGTCAGATTCTGACTATTTTGCCAACTTTTCGACTTCCCTAATATCTCATATTTTTGCAAATTATAATAATTTAAAAAACTAAATAAATTTTTAACAAATTAACACATTTTTTGTGTTTTTTCTCGCGATTGTAAATACCTAAACTCGTGTGTGTGTCCGAAAAACTGTCATACCCGTGCGTCCGTCCAAGTGATATTGTTATTTCAATTAGACGAAAACAACGGCTAATTATCATACAAGATTTTTTTGTTAAATTAAATTTAAAAAAAAAAATACTAAATTTTAAATTGATATAAAAATATTTATGATTTTTGTTTTGGGAAAATTTACAAAAAAATCTAATAATACGATAAAATGATCGGTTTGCAGTAGTATGAACCGATCATCCCTGCACTAAATGTGTCTTATTCATAGTGACTGGCTGACGGAGTGAGTGAGTGTCTTATGTATGAGAATTTAAGAAGGTGATTTTTAAAAATGTATGAAGCAGAATACTGTTGTGATTGATGTGCGCCACATGCGTTCATGCAAATAGTTTTTTATTTTGTATTTTTGCTGATCTTGTTTTTGTTTTTAAATTCTCAAGCAATTTCTTTTACTTTATCTTTCACCCATTAAATAGTTTCGATTTTAAGCATTATTTTTTATAATTTTTAAGGTAATTTGATGTAAAAATTAAAATTAAATCATACACTTTGTATGTTTTACAATTTTTAGATTTTAGGTTGATGATTTGTTGGGGATCAGTTAATTTTTTTAATGTTTTAATTTGCGAAAGGGTAGTTTTTTTGTGAACTAAACTGTAATTGAATGTCAGTGACCGATTGATTAGTCAGTGATCGACTAGACTACGATGGACTAGTCTCTGATCTACTTAACTGTGATCGTCTACTATCGATTGTTATGAAATTGACAAGTCTTAGAACGACTTGTCTGCGATCGATTAATCTGCGATTGACTATTCTGTAATCGACTATTCATGGATCGAATACTGTGTGTTCAACTAGTCTATGACTAACTACTCAGTGATCAACTAATTTGTGATCGAATATTATCTGATCGACTAGTCAGTGATCGACTTATCTGCGGTCGATTAGTCTGCAATCGACCCAACCGTGATCGACTAGTCTGCGATCGATTATTCCATGATCGACTGTAAATTGTTGTTTGTTATGTGATTGAAAAGCCTTTGAACGACTTGTCTGTGATCGATTACTTTGCGATTGACTATTCTGTAATTGACTATCCAGGGATCGACTACAGCGTGATCAACTTGTCTCTGATCAGTGATCAATTATTTTGTGATCGAATAGTATCTGATCGACTAGTCAGTGATCGACTTATGTGCGATCGATTATTCCGTGATCGACTAGTCAGTGATAGACTTATCTGCGATCGATTATTCTGTGATCGACTAGTCTGCGATCGATTTATCTGTGATCGATTAGTCTGCGATCGACTAGTTTCTGATCGTATAGTATGTAACTGACTAGTCAGTGATCAATTAGTCTGTGATTGAATAGTATGTGATCGACTAGTAAGGGGGTCGACTAAAATGAGATCAACTAGTCAGTGATCAACTACTATGTGATCGACTTGTCTGCGATTGAATAATCTGCGACCGACCAGTCAGGGATCAACTATTCCTTAATCGTCTAGTAAAGGGTCGACTAGTCTGACATAGTTTAGAATATGTTCGAATAGTCTGTAAAAGACAGTCTGAGAACAACTATTATGTGATCGACTAGTCTGTGATCGAATACTCTGTAATTGTTTATTCTTTGGTGGACTACTCTATGATCACCTAATCTGTGATCGAATAGTCAATAATTACCTAATTGCTCTGTGATTGGATAGTTAGTGATCAACTAGTCTGTGATCTAATAGTTTATGATGTTATAGTCTAGTCTGTGTTGAACCAGTCTGTAATTGAATAGTCTGCGATCGATTAGTCTATGATCGCTAAATATAAGATCAACTAGTCTTGGATTAGTCTTTAATCGACTAGTCTGCGATCATCTAATCACTGATCGATAAGTCTCTGATCGAATGTTGTGTAATTTTGTCGGGTTCTTTTAATTTGAGACTAATTGCCAGTTTTGGACAAAAAGTAATCAAAATCGGACAAATTTTCTTTAAATCTATTTTCTCCGATTATGAATTTTCGTCTCTTTTAAACATTTTGTAGATTCAGAACAATTTTCTCCTCATACCTCGCATTAACTACCGCTTATTGTGAATGAACTCTTAACAAAAAATTTAAGTGATTGGCAACGCCTTGCCAGACAGCTGCCGTGCTAAACAAAACAGCTGTCAGCGAAAAAAAAATGTAAACACTAGCAAACAATTACCGAGAACTAAGAAAAATTTTATAATTTCTAATTAATCGACAAATTATTAATTAAAAATATGTCTAAAGTAAATAAAACGGCTTTAAATTTAAAACAGGTAAACATTTTCTGCCTTAACAATAAAACAATAACGAAAAAAAAATTATGAAAAATTCACAATTAGTTTATGCTGCGCCAAGAGGTCTTGAAACTATATCGTGATATATTTCGCACCATACGTTTAGTACCCGATACCAATAGTCAACAGGAATTGCGCACCTGGGCTAGACAAGATTTTCGTGTTAATCAACAGCAAACCGATGAGGTGGCCATTAAAATGTTACTACAATACGGTAGACGTAGTTTAAATGAATTACGACAAAGTCTGCATTTAAGTGGTGTTTGTAATGAGGATAAGAAATGATACGATGAGTGGACGAATGGAGGTTGGAGAAAGAAGGAAAAAAACTACAAGTGCTGATATTTGGTTTAATATAATTGCTTTGGTTTTTCTTATAATTTATTTCGTTAATATATTTCGTCTTTTTATTATGTTTTTTTGTTAAAAAACTATTTTAAGGCTACAAAAACTCAAGCAGTTTTTTTTTATAAAAATTAAACCGTGGGCATGTTTTAACAAGTTAGTGTGAAGAGGTGATTATGTATAAACTAAATTACAACCTTTGGAAGTGTATGTATGTTTGTTTAAAGTTTAGCAAATAGGATTTTAATCCCTTTTGTTTTGTTTATTCGTTAAAATTTTTGGAAGTTTAAATGTTATTTATTACCAACTTTTTATTTTTCTTTTTAGATTAAAAATAATGATCAAATATTGGAGTTTTAAACAGCCTGGTTTGATATTTGCTTAATCATAATCCCAGGACTATGAGCTGTATCAGTATAAAGCAATCAATGTTTGTTCTCAATATTTATAAAAAAATAATTTTGAATCCTTTTTTGGAAATTTCTTAAAAAATTTCGAAAAGAATTATCCTTTTATTAAAATGTTATTTATTAGAACAAATCATAAGCTCGATTTTTCAATGAAATCTCAGTTTTTTACTAAAAACTTGGTTGTTCACTAAAAACTCGGGTTTTCATCAAAAACTCGGTTATACCAAAAATTCAGTTTTTCATCAAAAACACAATTTTTTGCTAAAACTCGGTTTTTTACTAAAAATCGGTTTTCACTAAAAACTCGGGTTTTCATCAAAAACTCTGTTTCATATCAAAAACTAGGTTTTTCAATTATAACCTTGTTTTTTTATTTAAAATAGTAATTTTCATGTAAACCGGTATTTTACAAAACAACTTATTTTATCGAAAAGCTGAATTTCGAAAACCCAGTATTTCATGGAAACCCAGTATTTCATAGAAAAACTAGTATTTTACCAAAATACTATTGTTTCAACGAAAAACTAGTATTCTAACGAAAAACTGAATTTCATTGAAAAACCAGTATTTTACCAAAGAAAAAGCTCAGTGAAACCAGTATTTCATCGAAAACCCACTATTTTATCGATAAACCAATTTTATTGAAAAACTAAATTTATGGGAAAAAACAGTATTATCAGTATTTTATCTCAAATTTAACAAAAACTTTTATCGAAATCACGGAATTTTATAGAAAAACCAGTATTTCTTGAAAAACTAGTATTCTTACGAAAAACTAGTATTCTTACAAAAAACTATTTAATCGAAAAAACACGTATTTTACCAAAAAAAAATGGAATTACATCGAAAAACTAGTTTTTTTTCCAAAAAACGGAAAAACAGTATTTCATCGAAATTCCAGGATTTTATCGAAAAACCAGTATTTCATCGAAATTCCACCATTTTATCAAAAAACCATTATTTAAGTGAAAACTACAAAGCTACTGTATTCCGCTGAAAAAAAAAAACAATATTTCACCAAAAATCTGGCACCGAAGTACCAATAATTCATCAAAAAACAGTATTCTACCTAAAAACCGTCATTTCAACAAAAAGCTGGAATTTTATTGAAAAACCAGTATTTCATCGAAAAACCAATATTTTATATCAAAAACCAGTATTTTAACTAAAAAACCAGTATTTCTACCAAAAACCATTATTTTATCGAAAAACTTGAATTTCAACGAAAAAATACTATTTCAGAGAAAAACCAGTACATATTTTATCCAAAACCGAAAAATAGTTTCTCATCGAAAAACCAGTATTTAAACTGAAAGTAAAAAAACTAGAAAATTATTTTGCCTTTTCGCGGGGTTTTGTTGTGCTGTAAATGTTTGTGTATAATAATAACATTTTTTGTATAAATTACTACTTTTGTTCAACTTGTTTCTTAAATTTTGATTAAATTTACATAATATCTCATAAAATATTCGCTGTTTCTTTTTAGAAGGGGGAAGTGGGGTTTATTTTGTTTGTCATGCTTGCATTTAATAATATGAGCGTTTTAATCCACAACATTTCATTGCTTTTCCAAATCTACAAAATAATATCTATAGTAAGTGTAATTTTGTTAACTTTCATTGCAGATTCATTTTGTGTGACTTTTCCCCCTACCAAACAACAAGGGTAGGGAGATAACTCCTTATATATGTATTACTTTCAAATATTTATGCGTTAGAAAACACACAACAACTACGCAAGCTTATTTTACTTATGGTACATAAAGGGTTAATGTATTTTAGCTACAACTACAGACTGTTTTTGGTGTGTTTTTTGTTTAGATTTTTTTTAAATACATTTAAAATAAATACCTTATAAGACTCAGCCATAGAACCTTGAGTACAGCTAGAGCAAATAGTAAAGAACCAATGCCAGTGACTATTAGAGAAATAACATCGCGTTTGGGTTTTTCCGTTATACGGTTGACTAGAAAACTATTGACAATGGTATTGGTGATATGATGACCATCGAAACCAAAACAGGGTATAGCGTTAATGAAAGCCAAACCCAAACTAAAAACTATATTATATTTCAGGAACAAAAGATAAGCATCACACCATTTGGGACTGATATACGCGTGTTTAGGCACAAAAGGCGATATACGTATAGAGTGTGTAACATCCAAAGGATGGCCCATATAGATGACATTTTTTAAAGGTTTAGCAGAAGCAGCCGTTTCCCCGGCTGGCTGTTGTAGTATAGACAGTTCACGTTTAAATGCCATTATGGTGGTGCTATTGCGCAGCAGAGGACGTAAACAGAAACCTCTCTCACAAGTGCCCACTGACGAGCAATAACCATAAGAATCTTCCATGGTGCGTCTAACATCCAGGCAAACATGTTGTGGTATCTCCACTGGCGCATCATTGCTAAAATCATCTATATACTCAAAACAACACAGCTTGGCATTCTTATCATCACAACACTGTAAAGTGCCGTCTGAACTATGATGGGAAATTTCTATGCTTTCATCGTTTAAACGTATAAAATCGGAGGAAACACAAAAGGCGGGTTTGGATCTTAAAGCTTTTAGCAGACACCTATACCAGGTGTCTTCGTTGTAAACATCACAGTCATTGATTTGTGTTATAATATTGCCCTCCATTAGACCTCTTTCACCCTTAGCTTTCAAAGGGGATTGTTGCGTTACTTGGGTGACAATAACATTTTTATTTAGACTATATAAAGGAGCAGCCACAAAGCCTAACGTTGAGAGCAGTAAATAGCAAAAGGCGGCAAACAGAAAATTATGCCAAATGCCAGCACACAAAATGCGCAATTTCCTTAACCATTTAAGAGCATTTAAATGTTCTGAGGATATTTCGGTGTAGGCAATGGGTAAACAAAAATACAGCTGCAATAGGAAATCATTAAAAAGTTTTATAATATATTATTCAAACAAAACTTACATGAAATCCAAAACCCGTAACCGGTATATCCTCCAGCACCGCTGCTATGGCATGGCCCAGCTCATGCACCACTGTGGATATTAATAATGTAGCTACATAGTAACCAATCTCCTCTAGGGGTAAATTAACACCCGGCAATAAAATTTCCAAACTTATAGTTTGTGTCTTGGAGGAATTTTCCAAAACTTTTGCACCTACTGCCACATCAGCTGAGGCTCCGCCACCCGCACCCGTGCCACCACCAAATATGGTTATAAATAATAAAATAATGCCCACCGGCACTAAAGATAAAGCTATTAAAACACCCACAGTAAAACTGCTGGTTAACCAGCTGCGGCAACAGGAACCACCACTATTGCCCAGTCTCAACACCAAACGATTAAATGCCGTGGTATGCCATTTCAAACGTAAAAATTGTATAGACAAACCCGAGTTCTTAAGAAAAGCATCATAAGGATAATGCATGCAACTCTGGAATTATAAAGGAATTGATAAATAAACTAAATATATCCTAAAATTCTGCTGGTACCTTGAAAAAACGATCAAAGAAAAACAATACACCATAGATGACCAACAAGACAATAAAGAATATTAAAGGATCCATATTATTGTTATTAAAACTGTGGTTGTTGTGCTTGTCTTGTTTTTTTTTTTTAGTCCAATTCTTACAAATAAAACATTATTTGTTCTTAAATTCACATAATTTTCTTAATTTATTCTTTCAATTTTCTCTAGTATAAAAAAATGCAATGTTGTGCTGGCTTGCTGTCGGAATATTTGTTACAAATGTCAAAATATTTTCATTTTTGCTTTAAATATAAACAAGATTACCTCCGCTGGCAGTTGTTTGTTTTTTATATGGCTGATTAACTGTATTAGAACTGTCAAATTCCTAAAGTAACAAAATAAAAAGCAAAAACAATTCTCTTAAATGCGACCACCTTATTAAAATGACTTCATTTTCCCTCAAATGCAGTTAAAGTGCTGCCAGATAATTGGTAACAGTATTTAAACAGCGAACAGCTGTTGTAGGGATTGCCGTATATAAAACAAAGAAACAAGAAATGTTTGGGAATTTAAGTGAAAATGTATGGTTTTTAAATAAAATCGTTAAATTTATTAACAAAATCATGAAAAAAAGTTTAAAGAGAAAATAAATAGAAAATTAAATTAATATATAATAATATTAAAGTTTTCTGTTAGTAAATTGTTTTTTAAAACTGAAATAATTTCACTCAAAAACAGTATTTTTACCGGGAAGCCAGCGAAATAGCTGCATTTTACCCAAAAATCTATATAACTTCGAAAAACTAATATTTCTAAATTATAGTACACGTAGTGAAAACCAGTATTTCACTTAAAATTCAGCATTTCACCGGCAATCAAACATAAAATCCCATATTTCACCTAAAACAGTGTTAACGCAAAAAACAGTATTTCATCAAAAAACTGTATTTCACCGAAAAACGCATACAGTATTTTATCGAATTTCGCATATTTATAGTGAAAAATCAGTATTACACCGAAAACCACCGCATTTTATTAAAAAAATCTAAAAAACAATGCTTCTCCTCAAAAACAATATTAAATATTTCAAAAAAATGCATTTAAAACCAGTTAAAATTTTGAATTTTGGCAAAAAATTTATATTTTCATTAAATTTAATTAAAAAATTAAATTTAAAAAAAAATTAAAAAAATTATTTATTTTTTCATTATCGACCATATTCATTAAACATTCGAATATTTTCTACCAAAATTCGAATATTTTGATTAAAAAATTAGTATTTTAATTTTTTTACAAAAAAATCATAATTTTAACTAAATTTCTTTAATAATTTTCAATAAAAAAATTGTTTATAAAATTGATTTTTTATCTACAAATTGGAATATTTTTACAAAAATGGGAAAGTTTACACTAAAATTAAAAATAGTTCTTTAAATTTAAAAAAATTCCAATATTTTCGCTTAAAAAATTAAATGTTTCATTGAAAATTTTAATATTTTCACTAAAAATTTTAATATTTCAATACAAAATTTCGATTAATTTATTAAAAAATTAAATATTTATACGAAAATGGAAAGTTTTCACTTAATTTGTATATATTTCTGATAATTAAAATTTTTCTTTAAAAAATTCAAATATTTTCACTAAAAATTTATAAAATTTGAATTTTTCATTATAATATTAGATTTTTTTTAATCAAAATTCAAATATTCCTACAAAAATTTAAAATTTTCAATAATTTTTTTACAAAATTTTACTAAAATTCGAATATTTTAACTAAAATTTTAAACTTTTCATTAAAAATTGGAATATTTTCACTATAAATTCGATTTTTTATTTAAAAATACGAATATTTTAATTACAATTCAAATATTTTTAGAAAATGTTCAAGTTCGATAATCAAGCTTTAATCCTTTTGTATTTAAAGAATTTTAAAGTTGTAATATTCTACATATAAAACGGTAACCCTGTCTGTGTTAGAGATCTTCAGGAGTTAAAAATTTTCCTAAAAAACTAAATTTTCGAATAAAACGCTAAAAGTACCAATACCTTTTTATAAATATACAGTATTTAATTACCTTTTATTCAAACCAAAATGTTGAAATAATAACACAATTTAAAATTTAATTTATTAAGCTAATTTAAGTGTTTATTAGTATTGTTTTTTTTTATTATATGCATTTATTTATTAAGTATATTTGATTCCACAGAGAAAACAAAAAAGAAACTAATATATATAGTAAACCATCAAATAAACTTACATTATTAAATATACGTTTTTTTTAGAATTTTTTTATTTAAAAATTTTTTATTATCTTTCTTTTTAATTATTGTTTTTTTTATATATATTTTGTGTTTTTTTTAAATATATTATGTATATTCTCAGTAATTAATAAATTAAAATTAATAAAGTACTTAAAGGGAAGGAATATAGGAATAAAAAAGTACTAAGAGGGGGGGGGGGGGGGAGGTTGTGTTCTTTGAAACAAAACATTTGCGTTTCCAAATTATTACAATTTGGATTTTAAACGTTGATCATCCACTTGAAGGAAGAGAGAGTGAACATGTAGTAGTTAAAATAAAATAAAAAATTATAAAGAAACAAAAAAATAAAATTTACCCATATTTGTAGGGAGTTAGGCCCTAAACAACAGAGGCCTTTAGAAAAAGTTTAACCAGGTTTAAAATTTGAATTTAATTATGGTTACACTTAACATATTTGTTGTTATGTATATACGTTTATATAAATAAAGAGACACTAAATACTAATCAACGAATAGTTAGAGATGATGTTGTTGCAGTTAACAGGCATCCAAAGCCTATTTCCATGATAAAGGAATTCCAACGCGTTAAAGTTAAATATATACAAAAAGATGGTTTTTCTTGGGGAGGGAGCAGGGATTTGGGTTCACGAGGTAACGAAATTATTACCAACCATTAACAAAACAAAACAACGACTACTATTTACTCCAGCAGTCGTTGTATATAACAAAAAGTTTACATAATGGAACAAAGACCTGAAGTCTCATTGCCGCACACCACCTTTTCTTTTTTCCTTAAGCTAGCCTTTTGTAGCGCAGGTTTTAGATCATACGTTATGGTTTCTTCTACAGGAGGCGGTGTGACGGGTTTTGGTGCTGTTACAGTGGGAGTTGCTGACACAACGGGTCGGTTTATATGGGAAATTGTAGGTACTGTGCTGCCATAACTGCCTATAACGGAAATCGTACTTACACTATTTTCACCATAGTCTTCGTGTTCATTGAACTCACCACCGTTTCCAGCACCGCCGCCGCCTATCAGACTACTCGATATGGAACTGATTGTGGTACCGCCACCACACAACACCGGTATGGTTGAGATGGTGGGTATAGGATTTGAGATATGACCTAAACTATCTGTTTGATTGTGGTTTAAATTAGACGACATCGTTGAGGATGCTGTGGCATTATTACTACTAGTACTAGTATTGCTATTTGTGGTTACAGTGTTCTTGGTTATATTTATTTTAATCTTATTAACTAAACTAGCCAAGGGCACAGTAGGAACAGGACCGGCAGCGGACAGATTGTGTTCGTCGCCGGTATCTATGTTACCATCCATGGAGATATTTAAATCTACGGCGGGCGGTTCCATTAAAGATTCGATGTCTTCATTGTGTTGCAGCGAGGAGGCTGTTGAAGGTGGTCTTTCGTTAAGGGGCGATAAAGCGGGATTTGATGAATCTATGGTTTGTGTTTGGGTTTCTTCTGTTTGAGATATAAAAAAACCAAAATATTAGCAACCTGTCTATTATTTTCATTACCTCCCCACTTACCACTTATACTAATGGAGACTTCTTCGGGTGCTTGTACTACAGTACCCACTTCCTCAAAACCATCATCCTCATCTTCGTCTTCCTTGGGCTCCTCCTTTATCTTAACATTCATAAAGGACATTTGGGAAGCTTCATCTCCCTCGGGTAATTCCTTTTCTACATAGGTATCCAAATCCGTAAATGGTATATGAGGTTCCTGTATTTCCACATCAGATTCTGTAGTTTCGTTGAGTTCGCCCTGACCCTCATCCTCTTCATTCATATTACCCATATGTTCTCGTGTCACATTAGCCGGCACGTATTCATCGTCGTCATCATCATCGTCCACGATTTCGGTAACTGATGGCTCTTCGTTGGGCAAAACAATAACATCATCGTCATCATCATCTAGTGAATTGGTGGGTTTACCTTTTTTGTTTAATAAGAGAGAAATTTAAAACATATTCCAAATTGTTTAAACATTTAGTTTAAGAAATTAAGTCCAGACTAAAGACTAGACTATAGACTGTGGACTAGGCTATAGACTAGACTAGACTATAGACGAGACTATAAACGAGACTATAGACTAGACTTTAGACGAGACAATAGACTAGATTATAGACGAGACTATAGACTCGACTTTAGACGAGACTATGGATTAGACTATAGACGAGACTATAGACTTGACTACAGTCTAGTTTATAGTCAAGTCTATAGTCTAGTTCATAGTCTAGTCTCTAGTTTCTAATCTAGTATCTAGTGTAGTCTCCACTCTAGTCCCTAATCTAGCCTCTAGTCTAGTGTCTGTTCTTTTCTCTATTGTCTACAAGACACCATTTTCGAAAGAAAGTCCATGACAGATTTTTTCTTTAAACCCTAAACAACACTTTTAGGTTATGTTACTGTTTTCAAGGTAATTTTTACAACTAACAACTTGAAGTATTAAAACAACTTACCCTTAGCATCTTTATCCTCTTCCTCCACTTTTATAACAATATCGACAGCATTATCATCATCGATTTGTATAAGTGATATTTCATTGTTGTCGTTATTAGCAGTTTCTTCCTCAGTTTCACTTGTTTTGGCAGGAGGATTAAGTGATGCCTGCAACAATAAGAATTTATTAGAAATTTCGATGCTATTTACTCCCTTTCCTTTTATACTAACCTTGTAGTCTTCATAACACAGCGGATGATAGATTTTATCCTCAATCCTAATGGCACAACGTAAGTGCCATTCTTCCAGTTCATTATCATAGTATTGTTCGAATTTCTCTTGACACATATCACAGGCACGATCAACATCATCTGCTCCGGCGGGGCAAGTGGGTATGGGTGAGTTGGTGGAACGTTGATTGGAGGTTTCATCCATGATCTCTGGATCGTTTTGTTGTGAATCGAAAAAGTTCTTTTCCCTTTCTTCGATATCTTCGATTTCTTCGTATTGCACCCAATCGTTGAGATCGTAATACCATTTACGTGCATGAGCCTTGCGTGAAGAATCACGCTCACGACGATTTTGTCGGAAATGCCAATCCAAATGTTGACTGTATTTAATGGTTTGTTCGGGTGGAAAGCGTACACCACAACTACTGCACTGCATACCGGAGAAAAGTGTCTCCACTATGGCTGATTGGCGTGTTTTAATGGATTCCGGTTTTGATAGGTCTATGGGCTTAATGGGTTCCATATGTACAGAGGGTGCTGGTGGGGCCACTTCTTCGGTTGTGTTAGATTCTGAAGAAACAACATTTACCGTTTTATCACTTTCTGTGGATTTAGCAGTGTCTGCGGGAGTAACCTCCGCTGTCTTAGTATTAATAGCTGGCAATATACCACTAGCACCACCCAATATACCAGTGGATACTAATTTCTGGAAAAGTTCATCTATATTAATATTACTAAGAGCCGCTGCTGGCAGTATGGGTACAGAAGGTGCTGCGGGTGTTGTTTGCAATTCCACTTTATTTATATCAGTTGCTGCGGCGACTGGTAAAGGTAAAGTATCCATTGTTTCAACAGGCAACTCCTCTTTAGCCGGTGGTTGTGTTTCCACATACAACATATCCTTAATTTGTACTTTTCCCGCTATTACACCCTGAGGCAAAGCGCCGAAACGTACAAAATATTTCTTACCGCCCAAAAATAAACTCTTAGGCAAACCACCATATTCTACGCGTGTAGGAGTGCCATCTAGGATAACCGTTAGAAGACTGTCAGCAAACTGTATGGTATGCTCATTGTCTGCTAATTTGAAGGTTTGCATGCGTGCATCCAAAAACAGCGGAATAACATTGTGAGCATCCACAATCATGTTTATCTTACCCACTACCAAATCTCGACGCAAAGGACCAATATTTACTTGAGGTGGTGGTCCTTCGGCCTTGAGCATGTGTATTTTATTACGTATGGGTACACTAATGGGTGGGCCACCAAAATAGATTTCATACCAGTGCTCATCAATGTACAGTTCACGTGAGGGAAAACCAAAACGTAGATTGAAAGTTTCACCTTCGATTTGCACGGCTTTATAGCCGGCATTGAAGTGCAATACCACGGGTTCGTTGTTGTCTATACAAATGGCTCGCTGACCATTTTGGAAACCTATTTCACGTGGTTGATCTACCTCCATAAAAACGATAGCCACTTGGTCATAAAAACGTATTTCTTTGGCAGCGCCATCTATGGTTATGGTGCGCACTAGATCCTCTTGGGGATTGTCTATGGAATTACAGGGTTTGGGTATGACAGGTGCTTGTGGTGGTGCCACAGGAGGCATATTATTGCCACGTATAGGACCCATATTACCTTTGCCATAAAGTGGAGGTCCCTGGGGTGGGCCATTCATATTGCCACCAGCCATGGGCCAAGAGGGACGTACATTTTGTGGCCCATTGCCACGGAATTGTGGCATACCTCTTTTATTGCCAGCCATTAAAGGATTCCAAGGTCGTCCTTGCTGTCCTTGTTGTGGTCCCATAGGCATATTAACTCCTGTGGGCGGTTCAATAACACGTTCTCCCCATTTAGACACTTTGGGGCCACGTTTTTCTCTCTGACCTCTATTTGTTCTATTGGTAGCTTGCTGCAGCTCCTCACTAACATCTTGTTTATCGTCTGGCGCTCTTGGTGAACCTTCATTATTGCCATTACTACCTTCGCTTTGTTGTGAATCTGTATTTTGCTCACCGACCGCTGTTTGTCCCTTATTTAACTTGGGTATACGTTTCTTTAATATCGCCTGCATGGCCATATTACGTTCTGTAGAATCATTGGAACCTTCATCTGTATTAATGGTTTTTTGTTTAATGGCATTTAGTGATTCCCGTCTTTGGGCTTCTTTCAGTTTATTAGTTTCATTAATAGACATGACAGTTTTGACCAAATGTTTATATTGATCTTGACTGATCGATTTGGTTTCCAGTAGCTCTTGAGCTTGGCTAATCATGGTGCGTATTTTCTCATCATTTGCCTCCTGGGTATCATCATTCATTTGCAATTCGGCCAATTTATTGCGATGATCAATATCACGAGTAAGTTTATCTGGGAGGAAAAAAAATCAATTGATTATTTTATAGACCACATTGACTAGATTGTAGACTAGATTATAGACAAGATTATACCCTAGACTATAGAAGAGATTATAGACTAGGCTAAAGACTAGACTATAGACTAGTCTATAGTCTAGACTAGACTATAGACTAGACTATAGACTAGACTATAGACTAGACTATAGACTAGACTATAGACTAGACTATAGACTAGACTAGACTAGACTACAGACTAGACTAGACTATAGACTAGTCTATAGACTAGACTATAGACTAGTCTCTATAGACTAGACTATAGACTAGTCTCTATAGACTAGATTATAGACTAGACTATGGACTAGACTATAGACTAGACTATAGACTAGACTATAGACTAGACTATAGACTAGACTATAGACTAGACTATAGACTAGACTATAGACTAGACTATAGACTAGACTATAGACTAGACTATAGATTAGACTATAGACTAGGCTATAGACTAGACTATAGACTAGACTATAGACTAGACTATAGACTAGACTATAGACTAGACTATAGACTAGACTATAGACTAGACTATAGACTAGACTATAGACTAGACTATAGACTAGACTATAGACTAGACTATAGACTAGACTATAGACTAGACTATAGACTAGACTATAGACTAGACTATAGACTAGACTATAGACTAGACTATAGACTAGACTATAGACTAGACTAGACTAGACTAGACTATAGACTAGACTATAGACTAGACTAGACTAGACTAGACTAGACTATAGACTAGACTATAGACTAGACTATAGACTAGACTATAGACTAGACTATAGACTAGACTATAGACTAGACTATAGACTAGACTATAGACTAGACTATAGACTAGACTATAGACTAGACTATAGACTAGACTATAGACTAGACTATAGACTAGACTATAGACTAGACTATAGACTAGACTATAGACTAGACTATAGACTAGACTATAGACTAGACTATAGACTAGACTATAGACTAGACTATAGACTAGACTATAGACTAGACTATAGACTAGACTATAGACTAGACTATAGACTAGACTATAGACTAGACTATAGACTAGACTATAGACTAGACTATAGACTAGACTATAGACTAGACTATAGACTAGACTATAGACTAGACTATAGACTAGACTATAGACTAGACTATAGACTAGACTATAGACTAGACTATAGACTAGACTATAGACTAGACTAGACTACTAGACTAGACTAGTCTATAGACTAGACTATAGACTAGACTATAGACTAGAGTATAGTTTAGAGTAAACACTAGAATATGAACTATCAAGTTATTCAAAGTTCCCTTTAAAAAATAATTACCTAATTTGGAAAGTTTATTAAATTTAGCGGTTTTAGCCAGTTTTGCACGCACATCCTCAAGACTTGATTTAGCTTTAGTGGTAGCATTCTTATTGTTATCAGTCTGTAAAAAAAAATTTAGTTAAAAAGTGCAAAAATATATGCAGCAAATTATTGTCATAACTAACCTTGAGATTATCCCAATTTTCATTTCTTTCTCTGGACACATCGCCAGTTATATTAATGGCTGGTGGAGGAGGAGCTATATCATCTTGTGGAGAAGTGGAAACCGTCAAAACCGGTGGTATTAGTTGTCTCAAATCTACATCTTCCGAGCCAAATAACCTACAAATCATAAACAAGTTTAATAAGTAAGAAAAAACTCAAGTCACGAAGAAAATGAAATTCTTTTTGATTTGCAATACTCACGCATCAAGTTTAGCCGATTTACTCTTTTTAGCCAGGGGTTCTTCATCTTTGACCGGAGCCAAAGGTCTTTTCTTGCCGTCCTCTTCAACATCTTTACTTACTTGGCTGCCGGCGGCGGCTACCTCATCTTTCTTCAACATAGTCTCCGTTTCCTTTAGAGTATCCGTACTGGAACGATTTGTGTTGAGAGACGCTGCAGCTGCAGTTGTTGTTTCTGGTGATAGTATATTTTCTGTAGATTTTTCTAATTTATTAAAAATTTTTTGTATTTTAAACGACACTTTAGGTGATGATGTTGTCGTAGCTACTACACTTTCAGCACTTGTCGCTTGCGCGTTCGTCGTCGTCGTTGCTGTCTTTTTTAGATCGTATTCGTCTAGATTTATGAAGAAATTCGAATTTGTAGCTGACGACGTCATGGATGTCGTTATAAATTTACTATTTAAATCTAAAGTTTTCTTATTAGAGAATGAGGACAACAATGATTTGTTTATGGAGGAGTTAAAATCTTGTTCAATTGTTGTATTTGCTGTGGGCACCACCGTTGACACTGTAGCTGTTGGTGTTGTTACAACAAATTGTGGTCTTAAATCTATGTCCATTAAACCTGTCATCGGTTCTGTTACGGCCGTTGCTATTAATAACAGGGATTTTTGGAAGTTTACAATATTATGTTTTATTTTTTTGTTTTTTTTTTTTTTTATTTTAAAAGTTAATTAAAAGAAAAGGTATTGTAAACTTAAGAAGGAAAACTTTTAAAAGAAACTTAGAAAATAGGGGGTGTTTTGAGGTTTAAGAAGTATAAGACCTAAATTTTTCCTTTTCAAACTTAATATTTTTAAATTTTCTTTAATTTTTAAAAATTTTTAATATATTTTCAGAAAATAAATTTTTTCGAATAAGTCTGAAAATTCGAAATTGAATTTCGAAAATTCGAAGTTATGTTCGAAAATTTTTTAAAACTGTTAAAATTATCTTTAAATCAAGAGGATTCATAAAAATATAATTTTATCTTTTTCTGATGTCAATTTCTTAAATTTTTTCAATTTCGAACTTAAAAATTTTGAAAATTTAAAAAAAAAGTTCAATGAATTTTAAAGTATTTTTAATGTAGTTTCAGAAAAAAAACTTTTTAAGCTATGTTCGAAAATTCGAAATTAAATTTAGAAAATTCGAACTTAAGTTCGAAAATTTTTAAAAACTGTTAAAATTATCTTTACATCAAGAGGAATCATAAAAATATAATTTCAGCTTTTTCTAATATTTTCGAAAATTCGAAATTAAATATTGAAAATTCGAACTTATGTGCGAAAATAGTTATGGGGGCTTGTTTCCCAAAAATAATTATAAAACATTTGCCAATTTTCGATGTTTCTGACATATTCGAATCGTTTTCAAACGATATAGATAGAAATTGTTAAAGGATCCACTTTTTTCCCGAGTTTCCTTACGTTAGAGACCTGAGTCACATTTTATCTATGTTTTTGAATGGTATATTCTCTTTCCCATTAAAGAGGCTTGAGACTTTTAGCGATAAACTTGAGACGTCCTAAATCTCTGTGAAAAGTTCTCTTAAAAATGAGACATGAATCGATAAAGCAGTTGTTGGAATCTTTAGGAATCGCCTTGAATCGATGTAGCACTTGTTGATTGGACTATATTTTCCTGAGTCTTGAGTTTTATAGAATTTGTGGCGGAAGTTGGTGAGTATAGTCGTGAATCGTCATTAATCGATAGAACAGTTGTTAAGAAAGACTTAGTCGTCTTGAATCGCTGTAGATGTTTCCAAACGGAGAATTTTCTTCCGAGAGAGTGTTGAGTCGGTCTGAATCTCCCGAGTGAGACGAGCGTTTTCTGGAATAGATGTAACAGTTGTTGAATGGACTCTAGATCCGTCTTAAATCGATAGAACAGTTGTTGTGAGAGACTTGAGTCATCTTGAAACGACATAGCAGTTATTCAATGAACCATTTTCATCCAAATAAGACTTGAGTCGTCAAGAATCGATATAGCAATAGTTAAATGGACTCTCTTCTTTCGTTAGAGACTTAAACCAAAAGAACAGTTGTTGAGAAAGTCTTGAGTCATTCTGAAACACTGTATCAGTTGTTGGAAAGCCTTGAGTCATTCTTAATCGATATAACAGTTGGTTATATGAACCATTTTATTCCAAATAAGGCTTGTATCGACTCGGATCGATGTAGCAATTGTGTAATGTGCTGCTTTCTTTCGTTTAAGACTCCCACTGTTGAATAGAATCGTAATTTGTCTTTAATCTAAAGAATAGTTGTTGAGAAAGTCTTAGTATCTGCCAGAATCCATGTAGCAATTTCTGAATATATCATTTTCATCCAAATAAGACTTGAGTCATCTAAAATGAAGTTTTCTTTCGTTTCTGAATTCAATCATCACTTGGTAAATGGACTATTTTTTCTACTGAAACTTCAGTTATCTTTAATGAATGACTTTCGTTTTCTAGAATCGATGGAATGGAATCGCAATTCGCCTTTAATCGTTAGAACAGTTATTGAGAGAGACTTGAGTCATCCTAAAACGATGTAGCAGTTATTTAATGGACCATTTTCATCCAAATAAGACTTGAGTCGTCAAGAATCGATATTGCAGTAGTGAAATGGACTATCTTCTTTTGTTTGAGATTTAAACCAAATGAAAGTCGTTGAGAAAGACTTTAGTCATTCTGAAAAACTGTATCAGTTGTTTAATATATTTTCTTTCCTGGAGAGCCTTGAGTCATCCTTAATCGATATAACAGTTGGATAAATGGACATTTTCTTCCAAATAAGACATGGGTCTGATCTGTGTAATAAGCTGCTTTCTTTCGTTTGAGACTCAAGTTGTTGAATAGAATCGTGATTTGTCTTTAAACGAAAGAATAGTTGTTGATAAAGACTTGTATCTGCCAGGATCGATGTAGCAATTTATGAATGAATCATTTTTTTTCCAACTAAGCCGTCTAAAATGTACTGTTTTCTTTCACTTGAGACTGCAGTCCCTCTTAATCACTGCAGCAGTTGTTGACTGAACAATTTTCTTCCGTATAAGTCATCCATAGTTGCTGTAACAGTTGCCAGAAAATGGTGTCTTTTCTTTCATTGAAAACTTAAGTCGCCTTGCAACAGTTGCTGCATTAACCATTTTCTTCCAAGTGCTTCTTTGTAGCCAGATTCCAATAGCCGCAGAAACATTTTAAATGTTTTCAACTCAATGTTTAAAACTCTAGCTTAAAATACTCAATATTGTAGGGATTTTGAAACTTTTTAAGATTTTGTTATTTCACAGATTCTTTTTAAAGTTAAAAAACTTTTGCTGTTGTTAGTAACTTAACTTTACTACTATTATTAAGATAAATATACTTCTTAAACAAAAACACCCCTTATTTAAAAGTAAAAAAAAAAAGTACCAAATAATAAAGTAATTATAAAAAAAAACCAAAAAACGACAAAGTGCTGTAGCATAAAAGAAGTAATAAAGAAATTAAAAAAAAAACATCATCACCAAAAATAAAAACTATTATAATAAAGAAAAAAAAAATAAAAATTTTACATAAATAATAACTACTAAATGGCTAAAATATATTGTTTTGCAGCTTAAAAAACCAGAAAAAGTTTACAAATTTTATATTTAACAAGAAAATCATTGTTTTAAAAAGCACTAGTTTTAGTTAAGACTTCTTTCCGGGAGTAGTTAGTGCCTTTTAAAACTTGCTGCTAACTAGTGGTTTAGTTCAAAACTTCGACAATTGTTAGGATTGTTTAAAAAATTTTGAGTTTTTTTTAGATATAAGTTTTTTGTTTGTTTTTTTCTTATTTATTTTTCGTTTTGTTTTGTAATCATTTAAAATGAAAATGAAAAATAAAAAATGTTTTAAAATGTTAACATTTTTTTTACACTTTAATGTAGTTTTGTTTTCTTTTTTTTTTAGATTTAACACAGTTTAGTTACTTATCACAGTCAAATTTGTTTAAATTTAATTTAAGCTTATTTAATAACTTGTTTAAAAAAAACAACCTAAACCCCAAAGAGTCTTAAAGAGCAGATTTTGTAACAAAAAAGTACAACATTCTATATGTTTTATAAGAAAGGAATTAAAACAACGAAAATGGGCAAGTTTTAAAACAGTTTATTTTCAAGTTTTAAAACAATTTAAATACTAAATTATTATTAAAAAATATGTTTACTTATAAGTACAACTAATAAAATCAATTGAGAGCGTATGCAAGAAACGACCAACAACCATTAAATGGAAGTACAACAAAACAACACCTAAACTCCTAAACTTTAACAGATTTTTTTTTACTTCGAAAACCCTTTAAACAGAGTTTAAACTAACAACCCAGAAAAAACAAACGACCTACAACTCTTTGGGGTGGGTTTATCATTGGGTAAATATGGTTTATCACAGTCATTTAATGATAATTTAATCCTACTAATCACAGTTATAGTAATAATAATAATTGTATACAGTAGAAGACATTTCTTACTTTTGTCTAGTTCTTTTTCGCTATTGTTGTTGTTGTTATTATTGGCCACTGTTGTTGTTGTTGTTGTTTTTAATAAATCTTCCTTTTTATTATTTTTGCTGCAAGTTTCTTGATCAGAATCTATTATTTTTGGTCGTTTTTCTGGTGAGTTTATCATAGAAGATGATGTTGATGAAGTAGAATTACGTCTAAGATCAACATCACCAAATGTTGTTCGTGAGTTGTTGGTTTTATCATCAGGAGAACGACTACGTGATCTTGTTTTACTGCGTGATAAATTACGTGTTTTATGGCTACTGGAACGTTTTGAATCACGTGATTTAGTGGGTGACGATGTGGGTGATGTAGATTTGCGTTTAAATGCTGTTGCCAAAGGAGCAATCTCAAAGGCATCTTTATCACACTTTGAAGTTGTTTTGTCTGTTTTAGAAAATCCTTTTTTACGCTCATTATTAGTTGCATTCGAGCCAGAAGATGAGGATGAAGTGGTAGAACTTTTTGATTCACTACGTTTACGTTCCCTATCACGTTCTCGCTCTTTATCACGTTGAGAACTTTTACTAGAACGACTGCTACTGCTGCCCGAAGAACGACTGCTGGAGTTAATGCGTGTTGGTGACTTGTGGCTACTTTTGTGATTACGTTCATGTTTATCTTTGTCCAAATGGGAGGAGCGTACATTTTGCTGTTGCGCCGCCAAAGATCTTTCATTATTTTGTTGCATTTGCTGCTGTTGCATTTGTTGCTGCTGCTGCTGCTGTTGTTGCTGTTGGCGCTGCAGGCGTGGATCTCTTTGTCTTACCGAGTTTAACAAAGCTGAATTGACCGGATGCACCTTGGGTTTGTTAAGATTTGCTGCATTCATAGCTGCTGGCATCATATTACCGCCCTGCATTCCCTATTAAAGTTAATATTCCATTAAAAAAGTTTACATTTGTTTGAAAACTCTCCAACTCTCACCTGTGCTGTATTATTCATCATGTTGGGGTGTAGATTAGGTCGAAAACCTCTTATATTAGCATGAAACATGGCTGGTCTCATGGCTGGATTAACAGCTATGCTAGGACCCCCCATATAGCCGGGTGCCATAAGACCAGGCATCATTTGTGTTGGCATAGCTGCTCCCCTAATGCCTACAGTCTGTAAACTATTGGCCGCCACTAATGCCTCTACTGGTGCTATAACACCTTCTGCTGTCTTAGAGAATTGTTTTTTCCTGTTCCTCTAAATGTTTCTTAGTGGCCTCCAATTCCAATTCTAATTTACGTTTTTTCAATTCCAACAGTTCTCTGGTTTTATCCTGTAAAATTTTCTCCATTTCTGTGGGTATAGCCTGGGCATTATTAGCCTAATTTAAAACAACAAAAACAAAATTAACAAACAAACATTCTTTCAAATTCTCAAAATCTCTGTCGTACCTTTAGAAAATTTGGATTAACATGTATTGATGGTTGTTTGGCGGTTATGGGCCAATTGTGATCCAAACGTTTAACTTTAACATCTAAAGCATATAATCTTTGTGCCGAGAATACCTCATTCCAGGTTTGCCGTAAAGCATACATGCGTTCCCGGATTTTTTCATTAACCTAACACACACACATACACACATTTTTAATATATTATATAATTTTCAATCACCAAATTTTCAAAACTTACCTTTTCAAAGGCTCCACAAAATATATTGACAATACATTGGCTGAAGAGTTGCACATAAGTGCTTTTAACATTTTTTACAATAGAATCAATTAAATACAATATTGGCAATTTAATTTCAGAAGGAACCTGTTTTAAGTATAAAAAATTAAGATTTTTTTTGTTGGTTTCTTGGAAAAACTAAAATTCAAAGTGTTGTTTGTTTTTTGAAATTTTTTATTTTAACTTAATCTTATTGAAAATTGATTTTGTTAAAAGGAAATAAAACAATTTTATGCAATTGTTTAAGAATTTTTTTTATTTGTTTCACAAAGTTTTTTGTAATGTTTTTTGTTTTTTTTAGAAAAAAATAGCTGAAATATTATTTTTTAAAGAGATTTTTGATTATTAATTAGTTTTATTGGAATTTAAGTTGTTAGTTTTAAGTATAATGCAAATGTTGGTGTTTTCAATTCGTGTCAATTTATTGATTTTTCTGTAGAACTTTAGAGTGGTTATTACGTGAGATTTTTATTTAGCAAAGATATCAAGCATGAACTCCTAAAGTCAGTCGTGTAATAATGTACTTTCTAAGTGAACAAGTTCAAGTTTAAAACTCAATTCAGATAACAGCAGCCAACAACTTAGCAAAAAAGTTATATTGTGTCAATTTGCAAGTTCATGATTACAGATACATTAGAGAACACTTCTTTGTGTAAACTCTGCCCTAGCTATTGTCCTATATATAGGAAATTTTCAATCCCCATCCTGTAAAACTCTACTATTACTTCAAGCAAATATTAGGAGGAACTTTTCTTCTTAGCAATTACCACGCTCATTACCTATACGAATGAATTTAAGTCTACTAAGCTAGTGAGTAGCGTGGCGGCTTGTACAGTTCGTGTTTCCCCACTACACACCCTTTGGAAAGAAATATTTGGAGCTCTTCGTAGAGTAGATTCTGCTGTGGCTATAAGAGGATTTTCAGGGCACTAACTCATCGGTAGGAATAAGAACTGCTAATGCTTTGAAACATCAAACCATGCGACTATCTTAAGAGGCTTTAGTATTAGTTAAGTGTTATGATATAGGGAAGGGTGATATGACACGTCTATAAGGATGGATTTAGGTCTTTGAAAGAAATGTGGGAACGAATATGCAGTTATTCGTGGGAATGCTAGAAATTAATTCACTATGTACCGGTAGTGAAAACAGGCTTCAATCTAAATGTCTATCGATCTATCTATCATCTATCTATCTATCTATCTATTCTATCTATCTATCTATCGATCATCTATCTATCTATCTATCTATCTATCTATCTTAATCTATCCATATCTATCTATCTATCTATCTATCTATCTATCTATCTATCTATCTATCTATCTATCTATCTATCTATCTATCTATCTATCTCTATCTATCTATCTATCTATCTATCTATCTATCTATCTATCTATCTATCTATATCTATATCTATCTATCTATCTATCTATCTATCTATCTATCTATCTATCTATCTATCTATCTATCTATCTATCTATCTATCTATCTATCTATCTATCTATCTATCTATCTATCTATCTATCTATCTATCTATCTATCTATCTATCTATCTATCTATCTATCTATCTATCTATCTATCTATCTATCTATCTATCTATCTATCTATCTATCTATCTATCTATCTATCTATCTATCTATCTATCTATCTATCTATCTATCTATCTATCTATCTATCTATCTCTAACCAGTTTGTTTCACTTCTCGATATCGACAAAATTTCTCATGCAACTTACTGCCAGTTATCGATATCGACTAAATTCCTCAAGCAACTTACTGCCAGTTATCGA